ACATACCATACACTTCCATCGTTAAACAGCTTCTACAAAGAGTTGTATGGACATCCTCACAATCAGCCCTAATGCTCCCTCCCCCTCCCACGTCCACGGATTCCTCCCCAGTCTCCCCCCCTGCCCCCTGCCGCCAACACTTCCAATTTTCTGATTCATATGTTGTACATTCCAAGTTCCAATTATTAATTGAGTTTATTATCAATTGTTAATTATTGGTGCTTGCAGCTGTTTCTTCTCATTGGGAGTCATGCCCCAGCAGCAAAGAAGGTCCCACAGGCGTTAGTTCACGCGAGTCCTGGTAGACAATGGGACTCTGAGAAGGCCGCCATTCCTGTCATAGTCTGAGCACCTTCCCTCCAGAGGGCTCCTCTTCTGACGCGCTGACAATGTGCTGCTTCTTCTCATGAGATTTTCAGTATCACAGTGTTTTGATTCGGTCCATTAAGGTTAATTCCTCAGAAGTGGACAGTTTATTCCACCTTCGTAGCCTATTCTTAGTCTGGAAGCTCTGCTGAAACCGGTTCGCTTTGCGCGACCCTGCTGCCATTTGAAATGCTGATGACATAGCTTCCAGCATCAAAGCAACACACAAGCCACCACAGGACCACAAACGGACAGACAAGTGGTGGCTCACAGGCTTTACGAGGCTGTAATCTTCATGGAAGCCGACTGCCACATCTTTTTGCTGCAGCTAGTGGGCTCAGATTGCCAGTCTTGCGTTTAGCAGCTGATTGCTTTATCATTGTGCCACGACCACTCCATTAACTCTACGGGGCAGTACTACTCTGTCCTACAAAGTCACTAAAAGTCAGCGTACTCACCTGATCATAGGTTTAGGCACGCCATTCAAGTAATTCCCATCTCTTACACTTCTAGGGCACATCTGTGGTACCCTAGAGAAAGCTCGAAGCAAAAACTTTAAATCTTCCTTTCTCAGAATTTTCTCTATACATCTCTTCAGACAAGTCATTGCTTTCATCCGTAACACATGGTTCTGGGATGGCGCATGCTATCATGATTCGTTTAACTGCTGCTAATTAAAGTGGTGTTGATGTTGACATTATAGGTCAAATGGCTTGTCTCCACTGAATGTGATGTTTTTATCCGACAGGGAAGCTTTGATCCTCGGAACACGAAGCCACCGAGATTAGAAAAAAGAAAGTCACTCATTTTCTTACAATAATGTCATGTACAAGTATGCCAGGCATTATTTTAGGTACTGGAGATCCGACTAGAGAACAGGAGAGGCCGCCTTCCGGGGGATGATATTCAAGTGTGCACATGCCTGGTGTTTGGAGTGGTGGCAGCGGCGGCTCAGGAATTCCAACTGTGCTGCCCTATGGGGCTAGAATCTCCTTGGAAGTGGGCAGCAGGGGCTCTGAGACTATATATATGGACTGGAGCAGACAGCCTCGTCTGTCTCCCACAGAGCTGCTGGTGGGCTGGAACACCAACGCAGGGGTTGGCTGCCCAACGCTTAGCCCATTGTCCCACAAGGGCGCCTGCCGCCCTAAGGCCCATTAGTCAGTGCCTACGATATTTATAAAGTCTATGGTATAACCAATAGTCTCTCCAAGAACAAAATTCAAATGCATCCATCTTCAGTCTCCCTTCTTCATGATGCGAGGACTGTCATTCTCTCGAAAGGAATGCAGCCCGAAGGCTGCTTAGACGTCAGGATGGCGAGCCTTTGGGGTCTGACATACTTTGGGCATATTTTTAGGAGGGACCAATCCTCAGAGAAGGATAATGTGCTTAGTCAAGTCAGCGTTCCCCACCCCCACCCTCACCGCCATCCAGTCGATTCTGACCTATAGACTTATAAAGGTCACCGATACCGCACATCTCTTAGGGAGGCTGATGGTTCCATTTTTGTCTCTCTGAGAGACTGGCGGGTTTGAACCACCGACCTCAAAGTTAGCACGTCCTTTACCGGGCAGCGCCCGCCGGGTTCTTGGGCTCAAACAACGCTGAGGATGGCCAGGACGGTTACCCATCATCAGGAGGAGGGAGGATGAAATGAGTGTGCAACTACATCTAATTATGTGTGCGTATGGAGGGAGGGGGGCAAGTTAAAGTTCAGTTCAAGATGGGGAATGCTCAAAGCGTGTTCCGGCTCTCCGCTAAAACCAGTGAGCAAGCGTGAACACGGGTTCCAGGCGGACCAGCGAGAGAGCAGGCCGATCCAGTTCTCACTGGAAAAGTAGAGCAAAGCCTCATCCAAACAGCTTGCACGCATTTCTTGCAACAACGGCCTGGCGAGCGCAGCCGGAGTTCCCAGGACGTCGGAAGCGCTTGCGACCAAGTCCCGCAGCGCAAAGAAAGGCAAAACGGTTGGCCCGACGTCGGGAGCGCGACACGCCCACGATCCCGCTGGACCAATCAGAGATCGGCATGCGGGGCGGGGCGGGGCTGGGCGCGGCGCATGCTCGGACGCGCGCGTGGTAGGAGGAGTCCGGCCTCGCTGCTTTCCGCGGACTAGTTAGTTTGCAGCCGCTCTTGCGCTGTGCTGTTCGCTGAGTGCCGCTCGCTTGCGTCTGGTCGCGCGATGCCCGTGGACCTCAGCAAGTGGTCTGGGCCCCTGAGCCTGCAGGAAGTGGACGAGCGCCCGCAGCGCCCGCTGCAGGTCGCATACGGCGGGGCGGAGGTGGACGAGCTGGGCAAAGTGCTGACCCCCACTCAGGTATCCGAGGCGGCGGGAGGCCGGGGCCTTCTCGTCTCCGGGCCTGGGCGCCGCTGCTCAAGGCCTGCAGGCCCCGGGAGAGCGCGGGGCGGTGGGAGGAGGGGGCGTCCCGCCTAGGACCCCCCCCCCCCCCAGCATCATCGTGGACAGCGGAATCCCGGTCTGCGCTTGCCCTAGGCCTGGGGCCCGCCCCCTGGCCCTGGAGCCAGCACGTGGCGGGCGGAGGTAGGGCTTGCTGGAGAAATGCACCTGCTTTGCCAGGACTTGAAGGGCCACGGCCTCTTGGAACCGTGACTAGGCGGCTACCAGGAGGAGGGGGCCATGGCAGGTGTGGGACATCCTCATATCTTCCTGGGGGGTGGGGGTGGGGTCTGGATTTCAGGATTTTAGGGGCGCAGAATCCCCGCCCCAGAACACATGACCAACATGTTATGTAATCGCTGATCTGCCGTGCCCAGCGGGGCAGCCTCTACGTTGACAGTTAGGAGTTGGACACGGCCGACGGGAGTGATGCGTTCTACCAGACAGCCGCCAGGCTTGGGACAACGGCCGCGGCTGGCCTGTACTTACCGTTTCACTTCGGTGGCAGAGCCAGGACGGGGTCCTGGCTGCTGAAAGTGGAGAAATATGAATGGCAACAAACATTGTAGTTGCTTGTTAGGAGTTTCCAGCAACGGTGTGAAGCAGCTGCCCTGGCCTTGGGGACATGATGCATTTTAATGCTTCAACATAAAGTGGCCATCTCAACCCCTTGCCACCCCCCTGCGCTCACTTCCTGTGCCCTGTAAAAGGCCACTGTGCACCAAATCCAAAGCCCTGCCTTCCATCCTAGTGCTTTTCTGCTGTGTAGACAGCCAAGGTTGCTGCCTCAGCCAAGGCCACCATTGGACGCCTGGCCCCACCTCTTTTATTAAGATACTAGGACACTACCCTGCAGAGTTGTGGGCTTAAATGCAGGCGACACTCAGATACAAAAACCCCAAAGCATATTAAATTAAAATTTCAAGTTACGTTCAGCGGTTCATCGTAATAAAGGGGGGGCTACTTGGCGATATGCATCGGAACCTCAATGTTTGACGGATACACGATGTTTCCAACAGTTCCGACTTAGGGTACATACAAAGTCGATTTAAAGACAGGCTAACAATTGGCTCCTCATCCAGGAACTACCTGTCCACACACACGTTCCTCCTGGCTTTTCATTGTGCCCATATGAAATTGAGTTTTAATCATTGACTTTGTTTTGCGTTTGAGGAAGGTGAGCGCTAAGAAGGAACGTTGATTTCTTGCGCGTTTCTGAATTAACTGGAAACTGCTTCCCCGCTGCAGGTGAAGGACCGCCCCACAAGCATCACATGGGATGGTCTAGATTCAAGCAAACTCTACACTCTGGTGCTGACAGACCCAGATGCGCCCAGCAGGAAAGACCCCAAGTTCAGGTCAGTTGGGGGAAGCTGGGGGACATCCAAGTGGGAGCTGCATAACTTAGACTGGGTTCGCCCACGGCTGGGTAGCCGCGCTAACAGAGGTAGACCCGGCCTGAGATGGTCATGCTCATGCTTAACCCAGCGTGGCATTTCCTGCCTTTACCCTCCCACGGTAAGAGGTCTGTAAACCATACCAGAGCTAAGACCCACCCATAGCCAGATAGCTGAGCATTCCTGTATAGACTTTGAGTATAAGCTCACCGAATATCAGCCGAGGCACCTAATTTGTCCACAGAAACTGCATTAAAAATGTGCTGAACAACTCAGCTTCTGCACGAGTATATGCAGTATGTGAAATTCTCCTTCTAGTGCCTAAAGAAGGCTTCATTGGGACACAGCCCCAGTCTGTTTTGCCCGTGGCTGTGCCAGCTGCAGTGGAGTTGAGTGGCAACAAGGGTGGCATGATTCGCTAAAACCTAAAATCTTCATACTCTGCCCTCTGACAAAACAGGTTACTAAAGCCTCCTGTGGGGCAACCCAGGGAATGCGGGGCTGGGTTTTTCCTTCTGAAGCATGCACTGGCCCAGAAAGCCAGGCCTGTCTTGCTCCTGGTTGTCTGGGCAAACGTGTGGTTCTATGGTTCTGACGGCCCTGTGTTCCTCCCTAGGGAATGGCACCATTTTCTCGTGGTCAACATGAAGGGCAACGACATCAGCAGTGGCACCATCCTCTCCGATTATGTGGGCTCTGGGCCGCCTAAGGGCACAGGTCAGTCACCGCTGCTTTGGGGAGAGGGGAGGGTCTCCTGGGTGCACAGGAGGATTGGCCTGAATGGTGACCATTGTAGTCTCCTTTTGAAAAGTGTTCTTTTCATTGCTCAGCGCCCGTGCTGGCTGGGAGGTGGAAGGGAGCTGAGTTAGCTCTGGGCTCTGAGAGCCCACTCAGACCGACCGTCTCAGCCAGCGGGGGAGCCCTGGCATCTGGTGTCCGATGGACTCTGGGTAGCTTTACCCGGCAGTCAGCAGGCAGGGAAGGTACCAAGGACGAGATGCTGGAGAATGCTTTTCTGGGGAGTTGTCCGTGGGCTGAACAGAGCTGAGCCCTATCACTTCTCCATCCAGCCTTTGCCCTGTGTGATCTTTGAGTTTACTTCCTATAGGAGGTTGCATAAATGTCTTTTCCAATTAATTACTATTTTTTTAATAGCTCCCTGATCTGTTTAGGGTTCCTTTCTGGTGTTCTCTGACTGACCTAACTGGTTACCTTGAAAAGATTGTGAAGACTTTGAGACTATTGAAGAAACTGCCTTATTTTACATCTGCTCTTTGAATCAGTGAGAGAGCACACAAGTCAGGTGCTGCCTCGGCTGCTCACACCTACTGTTAGTCTATGCCTGCGCAGCAGGATGCCAGCTGGCCTACATCCTGCTCAGGGATGCGTTCATTTGCCCAAGTACAAGTAGGTCCCGGCCAAGAACACCTGGTCCTGGTCCCACATTGTATCTGTAGATGGAGACGCTTCAGGTGGCTTCCCATCCTCGCATGCATTCATAACAGGAAGGCCAGGGGACAAACTCCCCAGGGGCTAGTCAGTCCCCTTGGGCAGTTTAATGATTTGATTTTGTTTTCTCTTGAGAATAAAACAGTTCTCTCAAGGAGAGCAGTGTTTTCATTAAAAATACACACACCTCAAAACTGACTCCCCCACCTTCTTTTTTCATATTCTTTCATTGAGGTTTACTTTACACATAATAAAACGCAGTGGGAAAGGGCCTAGGTAATAAATTGGAACTGATGCACACACTCACGTAAACACCATCAAAAATAAAATACGGGATCCCATGCCGCGCCCTGCCTCCAGAAGGTGGTTGTGTGGCATTTGCTGTCCCGTCCCCCAGAGGTAAGCATTGTCGCCCTCCTGGCTCACAGAGGGCGCCAGGTATTCCTGCAGGTAGTGTGCATTTCCGTAGTGCCTGGCCTCTCTCACGCAGGACCACGTCTGCGATGGATCTGTTACCATCTGCCTCCCGTAGTTCATTCCTCTTGATCTCAGCCTTCCTTTCAGTAACTGGACCCCAGTGGGCCTGGTGGGCATTTTCCAGTGTTTTGCTGGTGGGACTAGGGCTGCCGCCCACGTGCCCACCACTTTGTTGGCAGACGTTTTCATTCCTCTTTGAATACCCAGGAGTAGGATTCATGAGTCCCTAGACAGTTAGGTGGCT